TTAATACATTATGAAAAAATGATGAAATAATATCGATATCACAAATTCTTACTGTACTTCATTGCGATATTCCTTCATAAAGTTTTCCTTTTTTTTTATATTAAAGCTATCTAAAAATAACGTATGAATCTGTCCCTCAGTGAGAGCGATAGTTTCATGTTATTTATATATTTTTTATTTATCATGGAATAAAATATTTAAACGTCTGTAAGTATAACATTGAGGATATTAGTAGGATTCACCGGAGACAATTGTGTTGTACAGTTTTCGTAACTATATTATTTGTACAAACACGAATATAAACGAAGGCTATACTTGCTTTCTCCAAGAGAGTCACGAAAGCCGAAAGTATGAATAATAAATTTAAAAAAATCCACTTGGTCAACTTGGTCATCACAGAGGGGTTGCTTTAAGTATCGCACTGTACTTATAACTGTAACAAATCAAATATTGAACGATACGGTTATTGCCGAGGAATATAGATGAAGAAATATATCGACTTTCAGGGAATAACCAATCGAAGAGATATTTGGAAGATTCAGTATGTAATAGTCGGAGGAAAAAAGCACTTATACAAGCGTGACATTTTAAAGTGTTTGAGAATGAAATCAAATATGGATTGGAATACTGACACTACAAACATTTTGAAATTTTATAAAAATCTTCTTGGCATAATTGGACTCTGGGTATTAAATGAAAAAAATATATTCTCAAGAATTCGATGGTTCTTATCAACGATGGTGGAAGTAAGTTATGCTTTATCACATTTTTATCATATTTTTATTATCATTTGTAATTTACATATTCGCAGAATATTTGTTTATTAATTTCACACACATTTTAAAAATAATAGACGAGTATTAAATTAGATACAATTTACATACAAATCTATGAATGTGCTTTGATGTGAATATCATGAATATATTTTATTACACTTTTTTTTATTAAACTATTATACTATTACTTTTATATTTAAGAATGTTTTGCGAGAAAAATGATGAATGTGTTTTTAAAATCTATATTAGGGATCGTTTTAAACAAAATGATTTATATATATCAAAAATATAAAGCCTGGACTATGCCGAGTGTAAAGTTCAATAAAAATGAAAGAGATAGGATATGGAGATGATAAATCTCTACCTTTGTATTAACCTCTATCCCTTTGTATTAATCATAATATCTTAAGAAAGGAGGGAGATTTTGTGTTCACACTTTCTCTCTAATTTTTGTTGATCCGACATATAATATACCTACTATTTAAATACAAATAGTACCAATCCATGTTTCATATTTTTGATATATATATACTATAATTTCATTCGATTGAATTATCAAAAATTTCATTTTTGTCAGTAATGGAAATTTCTGATAATAGCCTCGCTTCTTTCAGAGTGCTAATTTTCGTTTTGTGTATTATACAACTCAAGTATTTATTCGGTTTTGAAGAATAGCGTTTATGTAGTGCTAAAAATATTGCACATAATAATCATTTATTATTATTACTATTACAAATTTCTGGATTATTACATATTTTCGTTGTTTAATAAATTGTTTTTAAGTAGAGTCATATTATTCTTAAAAAATATCTCCAGTATTTAGCTATGTTAAATATACAGATATTTTGGCATATACAGATATTTTTCTATGACATATCAATCAGTAAGTAGCAGTATTTGTAAGCAATTGTATAGGTATTTTGACCAACTATGATTATGAAAATAATATTTATAAAAATGATAAATATTTAGTATATTTTGTCTGCTACATTAATATAATTATTTATATACTAGCTTGATCAAAAAGTTTCCGGAATTCATTCAGAAAATTCAAAATACAAGTTTATTCATCAAAAGTGATATTGTCCCCTTCAAAGTACTCTCCAGCGACTGCAACGCACTTATGCCAGCGCTTGATCCAGCTCTCGAAACATTTCTGGAACTCTATTATTGGTATAGCCATCAGAGCCGTCTTCGATTTTTCCATTACCTCCTTTCGGCTGTTAAAACGCATTCCCCGCAGTGGTTTTTTGACTCGATCGAACAGAAAAAAATCGCAGGGAGCCATATCGAGTGAATTCGATGGCTGTTGGATGGTATTCGTTTTGTTCTTGACCAAAAATTCACGGATAATGATGGCACTGTGCGACGGTGCGTTATCATGGTGCAAAATCCACGAGTTGTTTACCCATAAATCCTTTCTTTTTTGACGAATTGCTTCACGCAAACGTCTCATAACGCCCAAATAATACTCCTTATTAACTATCTGACCTTTTGACAAAAATTCGTGATGTACAATACCGTTGTAATCCATGAAAACCGTGAGCATCGCTTTCTTTTTCGACTGAAAACGACGTGGTTTTTTTGGTCTTGGCTCATTTGGAGCTCTCCATTCACTCGCCTGATGTCTGGATTGCGTGTCGTACTCATAAATCCACGTCTCTTCAGTAATGATGCGTTTGATGAATGTTGGGTCGGATTCAATCTTGGAAATCATGTCTTTGGCGATGTCAACGCGGTCCCTTTTTTGCATGAAATTCAGTTCCTTCGGGACCAACTTTGCAGCAACACGGCGCAAACCCAAATCATTAACTACAATGTCCTGAACGGATCCATAAGCAATGTTTAAGTCCTCTGCCAGCTCTCTGATAGTTAATTTGCGGTTATTGGCCAACATTTCTCTCACTTTATTGATGTTTTCGTCGATTTTTGATGTCGACGGCCTGCCACTGCGTTCGTTATCCTCGACGGATTCACGACCACTTCTGAAGCGTTCATGCCACTCGTAAACGGTTGTTTTCTTTAGAACATCACTGCCGAAACAGTTTCCCAACATTTCCAAGGTTTTCGCACCATTGAATCCATTTTTAACGCAAAATTTAATACAAACTCGTTGTTGCAAATTCAACTCCATTTTTAAAACTGTAAAAAATCGAAAACACGCGCAGAGGTAAATGTACTCAAGACGGCGTAATTTTTACAAATGTCAAGCTATGGCGATAAAATTTGATGGAAATGTCAATGATAGATGTGGCAACCTAGCCAAAAAAAAAGAACTCGAATCAGCTGACTCAGAACATCACCTGGTGGTCTCTTCCGGAAACTTTTTGATCAAGCTGGTATACGTCAATAATTGACAAATCTACCATGTATATTTAATCTATAATGTATATTTTTTGCTTAGAGTAACCTCTAAAACACACTTCTAAAAATTTATTAATTTCTTCGCGAAACATCCTGTGTATTAAATCATATATAGAATGTTCCAGAATAACCGTCAAATATTTCATGTGCTGGCAGAACGAACTAAACTGAATTAAAAAATTCTCTACCATTTTGCAATTTTCGTAATAGTTAACAAGATAATTACTAAAAATTGCCGAATATTGATTTTTAATAATTTTTTACTCAAGTACTATCAACTTAGTACTTTACAAAAAAAAAACAACAGACAAAAATTGTTTAATTTTTTTTTCATGGAGCTCTAAGAATTTTTTCAGAATTTTTTATTAACTTTTTAGTACATTTTCGTATTGATAATTATTTTCATCAACATGAGAAAATACTAAATTCCAAAAAAATTCTCAGAACTTTGAGAAGAAAAAAAACAATTTTTGTCATTTACTATTTTTCTATAAAGTTGACAGTACTTGAGTAAAAAATTATTGAAAATCAGGGCACGGAAGTAATTCATTCTTGGAACGAAGTTACAGTAATGAATTATCTTTTTGATAACTTTACTGATAACTGCGTTATATATTATTTTTTTGTTAGTAACGGTAACGTAGTTAAATTTTTTTGGTAACGGTAATTAATTTTAATTACTTTTATCATTACTTTGCACACGAGATACGATTCGATTGGACACAAGCTCCTCATAGCGCTTGGGATTAAAAAGCCAATAGGAATCTATCTACTGTGAATAATCAATTTTAAAAAAGTAATGGAAAAGTAACAAAAAGTTACTTTCTCAAGTAATGGAAACTGTAACGAGTTACTTTTAAAAATTGTAACTATAGTAACAGTAACTTGTCACTTTTTCTATTCGATAACTGTAACTTGTTACTTTTAAAAAAAAACTTTCCATTTTATTGAAAATCAATATTTGCGAAAATTGCAATTAAGAGGACTCCTTTTCGACTCAGTTCGTTTAGTTCGTTGTATCAGCATACGAAATATTTGGCGATCTTTCTGGGACACCCTGCATATGTTTGAAATAAAATAAAAATTTATTGAGATATAAATATCTCCATTTCATTTAATGTGTTCCAAATAAAATAAAAATTTATATTGAAATATAAATTTTTATTGAGAAATAAATATCTTCATTTTATTTTCATGAACTAGATGAGTACATCAATCATCATGTCACTAGAAATGATTCGACATTGTAATGGTCACGAAGATGCTATGGATGCTTTTCTATTAAGCTCATCGTCAATAATCAGCTTAGTAAAACTGCTTTTGCATCGTGTATATTGGAGACAAAAATTCATTTTGGTGGAATCAGTCATTCATGATTGGACTTACGTGAAAAATTCTCACTTTCGTGATATCATGTTAAAATATGCTCGCATAGGTAGGCTGGGTTCCTCGATATTTTTCTATTTAGGTTGTGCCTCGGTGATATCCTTCGTCTCCAGTGTCGTGCTCGCTAATATCAATTTGCCCTGGATTTCTGAAAAGCAAATTTATAACGAAACCAACGAAAAGAAGCTGATGTTAGCGGCCTATTGTACTTTTGGAAAATATTATACATCTTTTTTCACTTACTGTACTATTGAAGTTCTGCAATTCGTACAAATTGTCGTTAACGGCATCTCGCAATGCGGAAACGACGGGTTCTTTTTTGATCTCACAATGCACATGTGTGGACAATTTGCAATTCTTCGTATGAACTTCAATGCATTGGGTTGCGATGAATTTTCCTGCTGTAACAAACTCGATATCCTGTTGAAGAGACATTATCGCCTTGTATATTTATCACATTATTTAGAGAGAACATTTACTCTAGTTATCTTAGCACAAATTTTAATGAGTGTAATTGTCTTATGCGTTGAAGGTAGTTATTATTTTAAATTTAAACAAACTGTAATCAAATTTATCGTTATTTCAAAATTTATATTTATTCATTCTATATTACAAATGAAATAGAATAAATGAAAAAATTAATATAATCTTATTACTTTTAGAATAATAAATAAATAATTTGTAACTATTTTAAAGTTCTTATTATAGTTGACATTTCTTCCAGGATTTCTTTTACTTCTTTCGCTTGAAATAAATGATGCTCTTACCGCTGCAAAACATGGAGTCTTTATTATTTCACTGTTAGTCCAACTTTTTCTTTACTGCTTCGCTGGACAGATGTTGGAATTTCAATCGAAGGAATTAGCCTATGCAATTTATGAATCACCATGGTACACTTTTGACATGAATATAATGAAAAATTTACCATTGATAATTCTTCGAGCAGCCAGTCCTCAGCAGTTGACTGCAGGAAAATTCGTAGCAATAAATTTTATGACTTTTAAGGAAATTTTAAAAGCTTCCGCCTCATATTTATCTGTATTAAGAGTAATGATGAAAACGTGAGTAAAAATTGTTTTAAGAGAAAAGTAGATGGTTCAGTTCCTTTTTTTTTATAAATGTAACTAATATTTCTTAAACAATTGTAACTAATTCACAAGTTTTTTTTTGTAAATAAAGATGTGTATTAACGAAATAGAATAAAATTATATTAATATTATTGTAGGATATATGCTTATTGCCTAAAGCATTGTCACTACTTTTAATTTATTTAATACTGTGTTGATTTTCTATGTGCTATCAAATCCTTTCTTGTCCTACCAAACATGAATTCTACGAGAATACCTCCAAATGTGTCCATTAGAATCTTCTGTTAAAACATTAATAACAGTTTCTTTAATTACATAATGTTCGATATAGTTCTTATTGAATTGCATCTATTATGATAAGTTTGAATATATATAAAATTATTACTGTGTGTGGAACAATAAACTATAAATAATTTCACCAAATGTACTTTATCAAATATTTCTATGGTAGAAATGACAATGGAAGTAGAAATGTAAAGACATGTAAAAAGATATGATGTCCACTAATCCCTTCACTCATTTTGTTCCTAAAAGAAATGTTTCTGCGCAAGTTAATAAAACATGAGTTTTGTGAAATAATAAATTAATATGACGCTATTGATAACTTATAATGAGAATCGAACGATAGTAAATTGATGGTAATTTAGCAAAATTTAGTTTGTAACAACTGAACGAAGTAGTTTCGAATGAGCTATCATTCGAGTTCTTCCGCTTGCCAGAATGATGAATAAACGTTGGAATGATGACGTCGCTTACGTTTTTTCCACTCATAGACTATTCTTAAAAGTATACGGTTTGTGGCCATTACAGAAACAGACAGTATTCACGAAGATACAATGGGGTTTTTGTTTGATTACACAGGTACGTTAATGCAAGAGGGATGGTAGTATAATTCAACAGAATATCATGGGAAGTCTAAAAATTTGCAAAGTAGTATAGTGAGAATTTTTTTCTAAATATTTAATAATAAATTCAAAATATATAATTTCTTTTTTTAACATTTTATTTTTTTAGCATTTTATTTTTAATTTAAAATTTTTTAATTTAAAATTTTATTTTTCTGTTCGACAAGTTTATGCTTACAATCATTTATTGCAAATTATCCTTTATATTTATTAGTATTTGCTTTAATACTAATTGTTATTCAGTTTATGATACTACCTTGTCTGACGACGGAGCTGCTCTGGAGCAGCAAGGACGCCAGTTCAAATATAGAAAGTATAACATTCTTTGCGTCTACGTCGACTGGACTTATAAAAAACATATGTCTTATTGTTAGTCAAAAAAAACTGGGTATGAACATTAACGCTGCTATTGATGATTGGTTATCTGTTAAAAATAATGTGGAAACTAGGAAGATTATGAAGAAGTATGCAGTTCAAAGCAAAATACTCACCTTTACGTTATTATACTCGTTATATGTATGCCTTGGCATGTATATGGCAGTTGTCATATTCATTAATCTGAAGCAGATATTCTCCACAGACATGAATTTAGTGAATGGTAAAATTGTATTTGTTATGTGGTTCATAGTTAAAATCATTTTTGCATTTGTGTTAAACCATCTTTGTCAAAATTTTTAACATGTCGAGTGTTAATTTTACATGATGTTATTGTGTTATTTAAATATTTTTATTAAATTAATGTTTCTTAGTGTTACACTAACATATTTTATGAGTAAATGATCAAACAACAAAAATAATTTGTTTCAAAACATAAATTCTAAATGAATAAAATATATTAATTTATTATTTTATAAATGTTAATTTTACTAAAGAAGTATGTTTCTACAATTTTTTTCTAAATTGCAGTGTTGATATTTACATATTATAATATTTGTGTTACTTAATTCTTAAAACAATTATTTTATGTTAAATTAACACAAAAATTTGAATGGGGCGTTTGACAAATGAATGTATTAATTAAATTTAAATTTAAATTGAATAAAATTAAATATAAATTAAAATTTGACATAAGTTTTCCAAGTATATATCATTCTTTACTTAGTTTTGTAATCTAATTATAAACTAAATTATATGGTAATATTTTTTTTTAATTTTTATAATGTGCAGTTAATACAACAGATTGGTTACTTTTGATTCCATCTGGTTCATTGGGTCAGTTGATTACTGGTCCACAATATGCAATAATCCTGACTATCCAGATTGTTCAAACAAGCCTATTATCTTTTTTATTATTTACCGTGGACAGTTTTTTCTTCAACGTTACAATACATCTCACCGGTCAACTCGAGGTGCTCAAAAACAACTTCAAAACATTTACGAAAGAGCCGAACACCGAAGCAAATTATCGAAAGAAATTTGTTAACTTCGTTAACAGGCATAATCTGTTAATGGAATTGTATCAAAATTTGGAAGATATTTTTCATTTTCTTATATTATATGAAATTGTGATAGTGACGGTTTTGCTTGCTTTAATAGGTAATGTATGTCAAAGATTTTATTCCGCATTTACAATCTACATACGTATTTGTACAAAAATTGAAGAAATTTATATTTAATACATTTTATCACATTTCATTTAGTAGTCACATGGTTTACAACTTGAACATGTTCATATTCTTTTAAAAATAAAATGTTTATTTTTAGGATTGCGTTTAAATATTTGTATAAACGAGAAAGATCATGTTGAGGCGATAAAGAGTGTTTTTGTCTTGAACTATTTAATAATGCAATCGTTGGTATATACCTATGGTGGTGAATTCTTGCAAAAGGAAAGTGAAGACATATTCTATATGTTGTACACAACTTCCTGGTTTACACTTCCTGCAGCATTGATGAAAGATGTGCATTTTGCGATGATGAGGTCGAGTATTCCATTTCGTTTAACCGGCGGAAAATTTTTTTATATTAATCGCGAGACGATGATGTATATCCTTAAAACAGCGGCCTCATATATTTCAGTTTTAAGAATAGCGCTACGAAAGTAATGTTAATCAGTATAGCACTCATATGCGTGCATGCACCTTGTATATGTGCGTGCGCGTAAATTTTTTGAGATCTTATTACGAAAACTGATGCTATGTAATATACATATATAGACAAATATGTTTGATTAAAAAGTATTTTGAGACCTACGTTTTAACTTTTATACTATAAAAAGAAGTCAATTGTTTGTTGAAATTAAATTGTTCAACATTTGTGTGGTATATTAATAAAAGGATTTATAAATTAACCAAATTTTACGAGATTTAATTTCGTGATTCATACGCAATTTATATCAAGATTTATTGTTTAATTCTTTCATTGCTATGAACACATGTCCAACAAATAGTCTTCTGAACGTTAAGAATTATTTATACTTATCATATACTATTAATTTATTTACTAAACTATTTATGTACTAAATTTTCAGCTATTTTAGCAAAATCGTTCCGTGCAGGTATTTATTATAACTTTTCTTTATAAAGACATATGATTTTATCGAATGTGATGTAGTTTCGAAATTGTTTATATCATATAATTGTTTGTATTAATTAGTCTTAGCCTTCTTTTTCAATTTCTTTACATCTCAATACCTTTTTATTTTTAAGACTATTTATTCTAATATTCTCATTTTGCAGTAGTTTTTTTGTACATATTATATTAATATTGTTTTCTACCTCCCCAAAGGATTTTACTGAAGAAATTTAGAGGTATAAAAATATGAGCTCTATGAAGAATCATTAGTAATAATATATATTGTGGATGATTTTTCATTATTGCTTAGGTTATAAAGATGTTATATTTGTCAAGTATCATATTTGTGCCACAGTTTTTTATTATCTTCACTTTATTTCCATACATAACATTTTTCAATTTTTTATACTTTATTTATCTTTCTGGAAAGAATAAATTATTTCTTCAGAAAAAGATGACAGAACAATAATTCAAGAAACTGTTGGTGCCATAAATTTTTTATTTATCAATAAATGCAACTTAAATGACTGTAAACCTATTATTTCAAAGACGAAGTAAGTACTCGTATCTTTGAGAACAATGTCATATCAATGATGTAAATAATAAATCAGAAATCCAGGAAAGTAAGTTTCAGCGAGGAAAACTGTCGCAGCAAAACAAATGTGAGTTGTAGTTATCGAATATCATCACAATGCAATTATTGTAAAGAAACGAAAGACTACATTCTTTTTCGAGGAAAAATCGAACTGAAGAGAAATATACCCAATGTAATATAATTTCAACAATTATCGAATGAAATAAATTGAAAGAAATTATTACAGTCTGCAAGTTTTAAAAATGGTTGAAAATGGAATTGACTGTAGAGTGGAATGCTGAAACTTCATACGTTTTAATGCTTTATAAATATCTTCTTGATGTACTTAATATATTTGGTATACCTGGAATATTATGGGTGTTCGATGAAAACATATATAGAAAATATATATAGAAAAAGAAAATATATTTTCGAGAAGTTGTTGGTTTATGTCGACGTAAGATAGAAGAAAGTTGTAACTTTTAATTATTACTAAAAGAATTTAAATTTAATTTTTATTTTGCTTCCTTGTTTATGTATAATGTTTAATGTTTTTGTTTAATTTGAAATAATAAATTTTATTTAAATAAATATCACATTTTGCTTAATTTTAATATATTACGTAATAAGCTGAAATATTTGATAAATATTAAATTAGATTACAAAATACAGAATTTGGTAAAAAAATCTTTTATAACAATAGTTTTACCTTTAGAAAGAATTATATTTTCAATGATGTTCAAGAACATACATAATGCTATTTTAGTAGCTATCGAGTATTACTAGGAAAGATAACTACGAAAATCCCTGTTTAAATTAATACCATCAGGCTAAAATTTTATATATTAACAAATCTTATTTTGTAAATATGTAGAATATTGTCATTATAATATGTATGTGTGTCATTTAATTAATATTTAATTAACTGTTTATTTAGAATTGAAAATAATGTCATTGAAATATTTTCCATTTTTTCGCACATTCTTGTAGGCTATTCTGGAAGTTATACATTACGCGTCGCACTGTTTTCCACAATATTATACCATAATTTCCTGATAGCAGCTATTGAGTTCCGGTTATCAAATAAATATAATTATGTATGTATAATTATGTATGTTTATGAATGAGATACATTATTCTGTATATATAATATATTTACAAAACGACATTTGTTCATATGCAAAATTTGCCCTGCATGGTATTAATTTAAAATCAGGTTTTGTAGCTATTTCTCACTATTCCATAACTGCTAAAATGGCATCATGTATGCTCCGTGAACGCCATTAAGAACGTAATCCTCCCCGTCGACTAAACTACAGCCATTATAAAAGCATTAGGTTTTTCTGTAAGATTGTGTATAATTTAATAAAAATGAAATATTTTTCACAAGAACTCAATATCTTTATTTTTTTTAAACCAGCTGAATGCAATGATCAGCCTGTCATTGGAAGTTATTCGACATTGCCGTGGTCATGAGAACGCTTTTTTAATGATATCCTTATCGGTAATTAGTATATCGAAACTGCTTTTGCATCGTATAAATTGGAGACACAATTAGTTTTGGTGGAATCTATCATAAATGGTTGGACTTTCGTGAAAAGTCTACGAGCGACATTAAATTAAAATATGCACGCATTGAGATTGATGGGGTTTCTCGATAATTTTTTACCTTGCATGTTTTTCTTGTGTGTTTATCTTATTACCTCTTATATTCGCCAATTTTGATTTATTTTGAACCTTTAAAGAGCAGATTTATAATAAAAAAAGCGAAACAAGAATGCTTTTAGTAGCTTATTGCGTTTTCGGAAATTATAATATATGTCTATCGCTTACGGTTTCGTTGAAGTCCTGCAGACATTACAAATTCTTGTCAACTGTATATTTCGCAATGCGAAAACAATGGTTTTTTCTTTGATCTCACAATGCATGTATACAAACAGTTCAAAATTCTCAAAATGAAATTCTTTGAAATAGAAAATACCAAAAAATTGCAGATTGGTATCATGTTAAAAAAACATCATCTCTTTAGATATTTAGCTCATCATCTGCAAAACGCATTCAGTTTAATCATTTTATTTCAACTTTTTGAATGAGTGTGATTTTATTATGCGTTAAAGGAAATTTTATCTCCAATAAATCGTAATCCAATTTACTTTATGATAAAACTTTACTAACAGAATAATATAACATTTAATAATAATTATATCATGTATACAAACTGAAGATATGAAATAATGTTTCCTTAAGGGGATCCTAAAGTAAAGCTCGAACTCCGATAAGATCGCTGTTTTACCGATAAAATACAACACATCGACATATCTTTACCACATCATCGATATCGCACTTACATACAAATTTTCTAACTGACTTCTAATTAACTAATCTTTCGTATTAAATGTCTAAACCTATTTCTAAGTACTTAACATTGATTGTTCACGTAATTTTTAGTCCAAATCAAGATTGTTTTGTACATACGAAGTATAAAACTCGTATATAAAGCAAACATTATTACGAATCGACAATCAACATTATTAAAAGTCGGTAAATTGTAATTTTCCCCCTTTTTTTCATTTTTGGCATAAAGCCGACCAGTTTGTATATTATTGTTTATATTTTAATATGGAGAAGGATTTTCTAATCTGTAAAGGCAGTTAGAAAAATACTTGTTTGAA